CCCCAAAACCCCAAAACCCCAAAACCCCAAAACCCCAAAACCCCAAAACCCCAAAAATATATTAAATCATAGTTTCTAATAATAAGGTTAGTATGGTAAATCAAAAGACTAGGGCTTGATACTCCAGAGAATATTTCAAAAGCATGCTTAAATCTCAACCCTTGATGCTCAATTCGACTATTAAAAAAGTGTTGTAAGTATCTTTTCTCTACTCCATTTATACTTTCTGAGAACCTTGCTAATTTGTGGAAACTTCGATAATTTGGGGAAAATTGCTAATTAGCTTAAAGTCCTACTAGTTTGCTTAAAATCCTTCTTTTCTGCGTAATCTGTCACTTAATTCCTCTTAAAGTCTGCTTAAATTCTTTTTCAGAGCAAATCCCAAAGTGTTTGCATTCTTGATAGTGATCACTCTTCATTGAACTCTCCAATCCAACATTCAGAAGTGCCTCCCCGGGTTTTACGATAAAGAATGACTCCCGTGTCACAGTTCATGAAGGACATGCAATGATAGCCTCAGTTGTGAAACATGTGAGGGCTTTATGTACAAGGATGAGTCTACTTCCTTGTGCGCATTTTGACAAAATGGAAGCTACTTCAACGATGTCGTCCAGCAATGAGAAAGCTGCCAAAACTCTTGCCATCATCAATGAATGCACAGGGATGAGTGACTACAGTGCTCCCCAGGCTTCCTCTTAGATTTAGACTTGCTACAATGCGTCTCGGAGTGAGATGAGGGTAAGATAGAGCTGAATTCACCCCAAATCTCAATTGGTAGAAGTTGTAGAAGCAATGCGATTTATGTAGACCCTATGAGTGACAAAGCTGTCGAGTTCGGAACACTAGAGCATCCATATCGCACCATGAAAGCTGCTGCTTCAGAGATTCTGAATCATTACAGTCATAGTGGTTTGAATATAACTGTCTATATTAAGGATTGCTATTTAGAGATCGACACTTTTTATGTAATGAACATGACATCTTTAAATTTAATAAATCACCCTGATTACCAAATAATGAACAGAAGAGCTAAGATTATAGCATCAAATAAATACTTGGAAGGGATCTCAGAGAGGTCTAGTATCCATCTTCTCAGCCACTCTACCATTACTCCTTCAATTGTGATAGGTGAAGGTAATTATACGGAATCTGAGCTGGCAGGATTCACCAGCACGAACTTCTGATTCCTTGTTTCCAGAACCAATTTTCGAATGGAGAACATAGATATCTATGGAGACAACATCGACAATTGAATCGTGACTTCATATCTGCAGTCTAAGATTTTACAATTAAGTAAGTAATTGTTTTGTGTGGAAAACAAATAAATTTTCACCTTATTATAATTTGAGGAATCTCAAGACTCACATTGGGAACTTTCACCAAACTTTGCTTCGAGCATGGATCAGCAGCCTCCCTAGCGTATTTAGTAAATGCGACAAATCAACAGCCTTATCTTATTTTTTTAATTGCGGAGACTCTTTAAATAGGATTTTAAGAAATTAGTACGAAATTTTCATCTTGAATAAAATCTAATAAATAAAATTTTGAAATTTTCATCAGAATTTCTCAAACTGATATTCATCAAATTCCGCTTATTTGTAGAAAGAGGCAGACGTACTTGTACCCCTCTACAAGCAGAGAGATTTCTATCTAAATTGTAAAGAAAATATTGAGTTTTAAGGATCTTGGCACATCAGTAGTGCAAAATTTAGAAAAATGAGTGAATCTAGCTCCCTCAAAATCTAGCGTTAGTAAATTATACTATCTTGGTTTTCCTTTAATCCTTTAGCCTATGGAGTTGGCTCTTCTACTATTGCAAAGATTCGATATTTTTAGGGAAAATTTTAATTCTGCATTACTATTAAAACCAAATTAATCCTAATGCTTCTTTGGCCTGTTCAATTTTTGATTATAGAAAACATGGTTTTTGCTCATACAGGAAATGGGGTTCTTATGAGTGACCCTCTAGAACTCCACATTGAAAACATTCAGATAGATGTATCCAGGGTATATGTTTTCTTGCAGTCATTTTCGATGCAATGCAATTACCCAGAGGCTTATACCACAAATCCTATATATTTGAACAATATTTCTCAATTTGCTTCCAGCACAAGTTTTACTGGTGGGAGAATTTTTGGATCTGGGTTGCCTGGTAATCATTCAATCTCGAATGTAAACTGAAGCCTTCACTACAGTGAGAACCTACACCAGCTAGCTTGTTGTTCATACCTTATATTTCAGACCTGTATCCCTACTGATTTCCTTACAAAGACACTTGAGTACTCTAATTTTACGTTCGATGGAGCCGCTGCTTACAGTAGAGGCCAGTACATGATGGCGACTTATCTTCAAACTGACTTGGTTCATAGCAGATCCTATAGGATCAGCTACAGTAATTTTAGCTTTAAAGACCACTACCAAGACTGGTTGTGGCCTTCCCATATCCAGATAGGATTAGGGTCTGAGGTAGGATGGCTAAGTAACTTTTCATTCACAAATACTTCTATTTCGCAGCCGCTTGTTATAGTTACCAACTTTAAAGAAATAACAGTTAGAGAGTTCACAGCTGATGTGAATCATCAGCTTTACAAAGGAATACTCTCAATTGATACATTGGGAAATGTAACCATTCAGGATATCAATTTAAGCGAGTATAATGATGAAGGAGAAGGCCAGTTAGCAGTAGTAGATATTATTCCAGGAAGCAATTCTAATCTTGCTTTCAGTAACTTCTGGCTTCAAAATGTGCAGCTCCTCAATGCTCCTTTGATCAGTATCCAATCGATGCCTGCAATGATCTTAGTTCAGAATTTTAGCCTAACTGATGTACAGTTTCAGACTGGAGGATCTCTGTTAAATTTTCAAGCTGCTAGTGCCTTCTCTCTTTCTAATATGACCTTTGAGAGAATCAAGCCAAGCTATCAACTTGACACTGATGCAAGAGCATTCACATTCCAAACTTTGTTTATTGAGCTGATGAATGTTGGTGAAATCAAAGACATAACTATTGTAGATTCTGTATTTACTCTTGTTGAAGTAGTCAGTATTTTGAACTTCACAAACTCACACAGAATGTTATTCCTGAGCAACATTAGTTATACAGACAGTGTGATTCCAACAAGAAGAGCTTTGCTATCGACCCAGAATATTGATGCTAGAACTAATCTGTCCGTTACGTTTGATCAGCTTAACTTCATCAACATTAGTTTTACCCAAGGCGGATCCTTGCTTGATTTGCATCACCAACTTCCGATCAAAGTGGTTGTGTCAAATTCATTATTTAAAGATATCACTTCTGGATCGATCATCATCAGTGGGAGTGGAAATTCTGACACCCAGCCAACAAAAGTGCTATTTGACCAGTGACAATTCGAAAATATCACAATACATCAAGAATCGCTTCTCGTTGCTCTGCAAAGTTCATTTATCGAGATATCTCAGACATCTTTGACAAGAATTACCTCAATTGGGTCAATTTCAAGAATGTTTAGCATTGAGAACAAGTCTAAAATGCTTATAACAAATGCTTCATTTAGCTATAGTGCAAGTGCAACAGCAGCTTTGTTTCAAATATTGACTGAATCATACCTTTCTTGCACAAACTGAACAATCTTCAATAACTTTGGACTGCAGGATGGCTTGTTCAGTATCGAATCTTTTGGAGTTATTGAGGTTTCAGGTAGCCAGATTTACAACAACTATGGGGTCCAGATCTTGCTAGGCTCAATATTCTTGAGTGTAGACCCCTCTGTGGTCAGAAACACTTCTATTCACCAAAACATTTTGGTTAAGAAGACTGATATCCAAAGAGAAATTACAGACGAATGTGTGCATCTTTGCTTCTTGTCAGCAGACATGATAAACTATCTCCAGCACTACAATCTGGATAGCCTCACTGAATCTGAATATTTATTAGAGGTAGTACAAGGAGCATTGGAAATCATTGAATCATCCACAATTTATGACCAGAGCATTATTCTGAATTCATTCTTGTCAAGAATAGCAATTGCTGACTCAAATTTAACAAATATGGAGTTCAGTATTTCTCCATTGAATATCCTGTCTTCAACTCTTATGATAACCAACTGAAGTATTGAGGATATGAATGCTATAACAAATAATGCTAATTTTATAACAGAAAATTCTGGTTCAATTAGTATCTCAGCCTCACGATATGTTAATTCGAATGCAGAAATGCTGAACATATTTGGTTCTGAAGCTTTCCTGGAAGATTTGGAGTTTGTAAACCTGACCATTCCTCAAAGTCTCATGCATCTTTCTTATTGCACTTCTTTTCATTTAAGGAGAATGATTTTAGAAAATCTTACTGTAGAGAATAAATACATATTGAGCATTCAGAATTCTCAGAATGGTATTGTTGAGGATTTACAACTTGATGGTCTGAAGAAATATTTTATCCAATGACGGGATACTCATTTTCTAAGGTTGACAAATCTAAGCATCTCTGGTAGCATCCAAGTTTTCAAGTTCATCTCTTCTACAGTGGACCTTATCTCAGATTCAGAATTTAGTGGAAATACAGAGAGTGGTTCTGGAGGTGTCATTTCAATGTCAGATAGTAGAGCAAATATTTTCAACACAATGTTTGTCAACAACAGTGCTACTAGTGGAGGAGTTATATTCTTTCATTGTACTAGTAATCTGGACTGAGCTCTTCATATAAATTCTTGTTCTTTTAGGAGCAACTCTGCTAGCATCAAAGGTGGAGTAATCTATTATGATTATATAAAGCCAAATATCAGTGGCTCTAACTTTAGCAACAATTTAGCACCTTATGGGCCAAGATTTGCTAGTTACCCAACCAGAATTGGCAAAGTAGGATCTAAAGCTGGTGAAGACCTTGCTCTTGATGATATCGGTCCAGGAATCCCAATTAGCTCACCTTTAGAGTTAGCTCTTCTTGATATGGACGACCAAGTTATGAACTTAGATAATTCAAACACAGTGATTATCTTACCAATAAATCAGTCAATTTCTTCAATCAAAGGAACAAATGTTGTGTTACTTCAGGATGGAATAGTGAATTTTACTAGCCTTGCAATGCATGTTGATAGAAAATACAAAACAGCTACTTATTCAGCCACGTCAAAGGTTATAGATAAATCCAAAATTGCAAATGTCTTGTCTCACAGCGATGGGCAAAGCAATTTAGTAGCTAATTTTAGGGATTGCAAACCTGGTGAACAAATTCTTGGAGATGTTTGATCTGTTTGACCAGCTGGTACTTACTCTCTTCACTGGAACTCCTCTGAGTGACTTCAATGAGACTTCAACGCTGACTGACTCGGAGGGAACCAGGTCTCTCTGAAGCCTGGGCACTGGAGACAGTTCCACAACTCCACTAAAATTGTGGAATGAATCAATGCAGAAGCATGTCCTGGAGGGTTTTCAAGAAACACATTAGTCCCAACAAAGTGTGCAACTGGATACACTGGGAACTTATGCTCACAATGAGTCATCACGGATAGTTCTAAATACGAGAGGATCAATGACTTTGAATGTAGAAAATGCCCCAATCCAGTAACCAATGCAATCCAGGTGATAGGTGTAATAATACTAGTATTCGGCTTCTTTGTTCTGTTAGTAGTCATTAATGTTAAGAAAACTACTGAAAGTGAAATATCAGTTCTCCTTAGAATTCTAACTAACTACCTCCAACTTGTGACAGTCTCTATCTCGATGAGTGATGAATACCCATCATTAGTAATCTCTCTATTCGTGCCTGTGAAAATGTTCGGAGGATCAGCTGATGCTTTTATGTCATTTGACTGCTTTATTAAAAACTCTGATATAACAGGCCCATTTGGATCGAATGCCATATTCAAATTGTTTCTGCTATCTTTTCTACCAATGATACTTTTCTTAGCTATTAGCTTGATATGGCTCGTTCTGTATTTCATCAATAAGAAGTGGGTGAAAGACTTAAAGAGAAACCTCATTATTTCTCTGGTTACTATTATTTTTATCCTACATCCAAAGTTAGCCGAGAGAAGCATTAGTATTTTCAGATGTGTTAGCATCGACGAAGGAGTCCAGGTTGCTAGAATTGATACAAGCATTGGGTGATACTCATACACTCACATCAAATGGTGAGTAATCATTGCAGTTCCAATTATCCTTATCTGGGTCACTGCATGCCCTCTGGTCGCTCTTGTGCTAATCCTTAAAAACAAAGACAAAGATGAGAACTGCCGAGTAAGACAATATTTCCTGACCATACGCCAAGGTTTGAAGCCGAATTGTGTATACTGGGAATTTGTGAACACTCTGAGAAAGATAATAATATTAATATCTTTACTAATGACTAAAACAGTGTCTATATTCATATCATTATCAGTCCTATTAATAACATCAAGACTCCAAGTTTCCATAAGGCCATACAAGAATAGACACCATTCACGTGTAGAGTATTTTGCTGTTATTGGTGGAGTATTCTCAATCACTGCTGCATTACTGTACTCTCAGACAGACCAAATCCCATGGTTGAACGACTGAGTGTTGGGCATAATCCTAGTGATAAATTCCAAGTTCATACTAGAATGGGTATACCTGGTCCTTAAGTTGTACCAAGACAAACATTATGTCATCCAAACTGTAATTATTACCCTAATCTTTTATGTAGTTGTTCAGAATCATTTCAAAAATGGTATGTAAGAAAGACAAGTAAGCAATAGTGTTATGGCTTTAGAGCACCTAAGCAAGAAGAGAAACAGCCTGATAAGAAAGAAATCCAGAAAGAACACCAACAAAACACTCCTGGTAGGAAGAAGATCAGGTTTGTGTACAAGAGGAGGCATAAAAAGCTTAGAAGTAGAGGTAAGCAAGATTTTCTTAAATACTAGCGATATTTAAAAAGAAAAGGCTGAATAAGCCCAAAAAGTCTGCCAATGTGATGCCAAGAAATATTATGAGCACTGACTTAGTACGTACAGATAACAGGATGATTCCAAGTAAATCATCAAAGAATATAGATATTGGAGTGCATATGATTAAGTTTTAGTTCATTATTTTAGACTTCAACTTTATTCTAATACTTCGGGGTTTTGGGGTTTTGGGGTTTTGGGGTTTTGGGGTTTTGGGGTTTTGGGG